TATTTTAGGTAATAATGACTGTTGGAGGACCGACGATCACACTTTCCAATGGCGTGAAAATGCCACAAGTTGGACTGGGAACATGGATGGTAAGGTTCTCGAATTAACAGCTAATTTCTGACACCGCCCATGAAATCTAATTTTATTTTCGCTCTCGTGGCAAAACTCCAAAACCATGTAATGACAAAGGATGAGACGCTTAGCAAATTTCACTCATTGGGAAGCGCCATGTATTGCATCTTCATGGGCTTTGAATGGTTAGCGGCTGAAAGAAGAAATGAGATAGATGCGAGAGAAGATATCAAGACTCAATGAAAATGACGTTTTCTCTTTGTGCTTGCGTCTGGTTATAGTGGATTACGAGATGACGTATAGTCGATGTTCGCCGAAAATCGTATTAGCGTTTAGTGGCGAGAGCTCTTGTAATTGCCCTCTCCCTTCGCCATTCCCTTACTCTCGTCCCCTCTTATGTCTGCGAGAGATTTAAGCGGTACGAATCCACTAAAGGCGTAGGGATCCTTCAATTCCACCATCTATTCCATGAAGAATACGGCGAAGATCAAGGGAGTCCCTACAGGAGAACAGATGAAAGAACGAAACCATTCTGTGAATAGTGTTTCTGTGGGACTCAACAAAGTCTTGGTTGGCAGAAAATGAGAAAATAATCGTTATTTGAGAGGGAATGGAGCAGCACTAGGTGGGGAATAAAGTTCTGCATCACTTCTAGCGAATTAGTTTATAAAAAAAGCCGAAAGGCCGTGGCGACTCTAGTCCACTCTATTACCTTTTAGAAGATTGCCACTTCATTGGATGAAACTGTTGAAAAAAAATTAGACTACTTCCTACTCCACGACTCCATGTGAAAATGATGACGCTTCAAAAGATTGTGGACAGGGTACAGCATCCTTGTGTGAAACCCATGGGGGGATCGTACTTGGCCGCTGAGCAGGGGGGGGGGAGGGTCAGGGGTTCGTGGTTGGTCTGTTGGGAGAGGGGTGAAAGAAATTTGCCGCGTTGGGAAAAACTTTTTCTCGATTGTGACTTCGGCTTCTCCCGTTTTACATGTGCTATTTACCCACCCCCCTGTCGGAAAGCAGGGTACAGCATCGTTGTGTCAAGCCCATGGGGGTCGTACTTTTGCTCTGGGGAGGGGGGGGTCGTATTTGTAAGACAAATTTATTTTGATAGTTTGATTTTATTGTGCAAAGGGGGGGGGGGAGGTACATGAGGAAGAGTGGTAAGGGAAAATCGAGAAAAATAGTGGACAGGATACGGCAATCATTGTGTCAAGAAACCATGGGGGTCGTACTTTTGCTCTGGGGAGGGGGGTCGTATTTGTAGAGACAAATTTATTTTGATAGTTGATTTTTTTCTTGTGGAAAAGGGGGGGGGAGGGGTACATGAGGAGAGTTGTAAGAGAAAATAAGAAAACAAGTGGACAGGGTACAGCAGCCACCCCCCCACCACCACTTTTTTGTTCGCCTGACTGATATACTAATCGCTCGTCCGTCGCGAAGAAAGCCCATGGAGGCGGTAGGAAGGGGGTCGTACTCACACGCGGAATTTCGCGCATCCCCCATGCTGTATCCCTGGGTCGGAAGATTTCGGAAAACTGTAGGCAAGGGGAACTTGTAGAACAGCGGTAGGCAGGTAGGTGTTGGGGAAGGAGGGGGGGGGGTCGTACCGAAACCCTCCTTGAAGGGAGGGTTTCGTACTGACACCACCATTTCACACATCACAATGCTGTACCCTGATCGTGGACTTTCGGGGAGCGTAGCCGAACGCAGCTTGGAGGCGTAAGGGACGATAATTTGGTACTCGGTCTAAAATATGGATAACACGGTTCGGCGCCTACTACATACATACATACTACCTACATGGGTGAAATGACGATACAGTGAAGTGAAACGGTCAAAAACCTGTTGAAAAAGCCTTTGTTATACACGACTCAGAAAGCAGTTTCGGACAAGTTCCCGTTCACGCATTCGTGCCAGTACACCGCTACGGTAGATACGGCTGCATAAATGTACTAATATATCCATGCAGCACCGCGCTCGCTTCATATCAACATCTTCGCTTCATATTTCACTTACATTTAGTAAATGAAGCAATACGGGGCATCTTTACCGCGTTTCATATTGTGGGGGGCAGACGGCGGTGGGGGATGCAGTATGCGCTATAGAAGGCTGCGTTTATACTTTGGGCAGGCGTAGCGTAAGCGCTTGCCAGCGTACCCCAGCCGGCAGTGCGAAGAAGAGATGCAATATCGATCTTAGCTTAGCGTCAACCAAGCGTCCCGCGCCACGCTAGCGTACGTCACGTTTCTCCAGCGTTTCAGCCAGCGCCTTTTGCCTAGGCTTGCAGCGGTAGGCGTGTTAGAGACTAATGGGAAGAGCGCTGAGGGTAAAAACACATCGATTGCGCGTCTCTCACTCGCCCTTAGTCTCTACAATGCACATCGCTTCTGCGTCTCCGACGGCCATAGTCTCTACAATGCACATCGCTTCTGCGTCTCCGACGGCCACATGGTCTCTACAATACACGTCGATTCCGCGTCTCTCACGGCCACATAGTCTCTACTCCCTGCCGCTGCAAGCGCTAGCAAAACGCTGGTGCCGCTGGAGAAACGCTCGAGAAACGCTGGTGAAGCTAGATCGATAGCTATGCTTCCCGTGCCCTCGCTACGCCAGCGTACGCCAGCGTGCCGCTGGTGACGCTGGTGAAGCTAGATCGATATGCATCCTCTCTTCGGCACTGCCGCTGGCGTACGCTGGAAGCGCTACGCTACGCTGCGCTACGCTACGCTGCGCTGCCGCAAAGTATAAAACCGCAGCCTAACGTATACTTTCTTGGGAAGACGCCGTCAGCCGTCTGCTCAAGAAACCGTTGAATTCGTGTCCTTCGCAGGCGTATTAACCCTAAACGTCTCAGAATTTTGGTCACACTGGTGCTCCCTTTTCTGCACTAACAAGGCGAAAAATCGAAAATAGCGGCGGGGGTAACGGTCATGACGTGTGATTCAACAGATAGGCTTCGATGTGATAAAAAGAAAGGGGAAAATAATAGAACGAGTAGTATCTCCTTTCGAAAATCTTGTCTAGTGTAGTTGGCGCCGCATCACTGGAACCCAGAACCATATTGCTGCATTTGCTGTTCACCATTTTTGTGGGTCTGGCGCGGTGCCAAGCCTTTTCTCCCAGTAGCTGAGCTGACAGATGACCCGAAGATGGGGAAAACTGGTTGACGTCTGCCACGAGGCCCGTCTTCTCCTGCCCCTGGAATGCCTCAGCGTCTGGAGCGACCATTCAAATGCCACCACAATTCTGAAGAAGGATCGAGTGCGTGGAACATCCTTAAACTGCCTTAATAAAAGCGCGTCATATATGATTCTTATTTTGGAATCCTCCGAGAAAGAATGTTATCAGGGCTTTTCAGTCTCCTCCTGCTGAAGCGAAAGCGCCGTACAAACTGCTTAGAGACCGGATATCGTCTAATTGACACGGCTGCTGTTTATCAAAACGAGGAAGCTATTGGTGAAGCAATTAAGGAGCTGATTCAGGCCGGGAAAGTCACTCGTGAAGAACTTTTCATCACAACTAAGGTACAGACGTTCCCACTTTGTTCCTGTTTCTTGTTCATTACTGTTTTTGAAGGATAGAGATGCTTAAGTTTCATTACAGTGAAGCCTTACAGTAAAATAGGAAGTTAAAACAGGACTGCTAGCGGCTTAGGTTAGAGTGTTGGTGGAGATTAAAGAAGAAGAGGTGAATGGGTGACGAGAGGAAAGTCGCAAATATTAGGGCGGTCAAGTTGAATCAAAGGGCGACAAGGTTCGTATAAAAATACTAACCATAACACCAGAAAACTATGTAGATGTAGAAAATGCTTTGATAAGGGAAACCTTCCCTTCGGGTATTACGCAATCTTCAGGAATAAAGTATGCTGATCATCGAGACTCGTCAAGTTGGTACAATAAGTGACTAAGCATTCGAGTCAACATTTGAGAAATTCTCCTCAAAAAATTTCGAAGTGGCAAGGGAGATGTTTAGAAAGTAAGGAAAGTTCAAAAACTATTCGGTTGGAAGGCCTTTAATAAGAAAATCATCGAATGATGGTTTGCGTGACTCTCTGAGGAGGCAAAAGAGCACAAGATGAAAGCAAGGAGGACATCAACAAGTCCAAGCAAAAAAGAAATTGAATTGAGGAAACTAGGGGGCAATAGAAACGCAGTCGTGCATTGTTGCTCAGCTGTTAGGCATTCCGAAGACCAGCATTCCCGTTTTTTTAAAGATTGGTTCTGGTCCATCAGCGAAACTAGGCCATTTCTTCCCTCATCACTTCATGATTGTTCCACCTCGAAAGAAGAAAAACATCGGATCTCAGCGTGTCGGATCAATGTTCTGGAACAAGAAACGTAATGAACTGCGCCGTAGAGCTCAAGCTTAGAACGAGATATTGGCCCTCCTTCATAGGCATCCACTGGGGACATCTGCTTCAAGCCTGGCCCTTTTGTGTACCTGTTCAGCGCCAAATACGTCCTCAGAGAATCGAAGCTCGAAGGACAGTGATTTGGCAACGGTTGCTAGATCCTACAGCGATTGCACGCCTTTCTTCGTTGACTACAAGTGAACGTACAGATCTCTTCGGAGCAGTACTTTAATCACATTGGTACATTTAACGAAGACAAAGGCCCGCCCATTTGAGAAAGCTATTGAGGTCGTAACTAGAAAAGGATGTGAAAAGTGGGTCGCTCAGAAGAATGGAAGCCTGCAGTGTTGTGTGATAATGTCTGAAAGCCTGCACTGTTGTGTGATAATGTCGGAGGCCACAAAGAAAATACTCGGTGAGTATTGACCAGAATAGGAACTTGGACTGGAATAAACCCCTCCCCGTCGTCGTCTCCTCTCTACCGCTCTGCTAGTCGCACACCACCTCGCGAACGCTGGGGTTGCTCAGAGGAGGGATTCCGCCGAGCCGTGCCACACCCCCCCCCCTTGTTCCAACATCAATCCTCGCAATCTGCGTTCATCTGATGCGCACACCTTATTTGGACATGGTAGGCTGCCCTCAAGCATGGAGTATTACCTTTTTCGCATCTCAAAATGGGATGAGGGAAAGCGCAACCGCTCGCAGAACAAGGAGGCGATAGTTTTCGCCCACTAAATATGCCCAGCTTTTCTGATTTTGTTGCTGTCGTTGGTGCATGTCTTGTTTTGGCGCTACGAAGCTCTCATTTCAAGAGACAGGTGGCACCACAACAAGCGCTCATCGGACGACGGCCACATTGCTCAGCTCATCTGACGACGCCCATTCTTAGTCTCAGCATGTACAAGCGCGATTCGGCATGTGGCTCTATATGGAGCATCTGGACAAATTTTTTCGCTTTTTTTTCTTCATTTCTGTGTTAAATACCACCATGCCATCAGAGCGTGCAAGTTGGAGATCAGGCGACTGCCATCGACCGCGCTCCACCGCTGATTATTGAACTTTTACAACTGCTAATTCAGTCACAGTTAGCACAGAATCTTCCCACACATCTCTAAGTGTTCAGTGATGAAGCGCGGTCTGTCTCATTGTTTGTCGCGCGTTGCCCGAATCGCACGAATGATTCGCTCAAATCGTGAAGTATGAACGCTATAGCTGCGAAGACCCCCTTCTTAGTTATGTTCACTCCTGATGTCAGTCACATTCTGGAAACGATTAGAGTGGACTATGTTCCTCACTGTTGATGAATGAACAACGGAAAATCTATTTATAGCTTTGGGCCACTCATTTTCATCCTGATGACGTCGAAGGAGCTATCCGCGATTCTCTTCGTCGACTTCAAGTGGACTATGTCGACCTTTATCTTGCACATGCGCCAGCATGCTTCAATGTAAGTGAGATGGACACTACCGCAGTGGTCACGGAATGAGTTTATTGCTCACTCGATCCATAATAATTGATGAAAATGTTTGGGGTAAGATACTAGGTTGCAAAGGCTCTCCATACCTTGACTGCGTCCTGCTCTCCACCAACTGTGGGAGCTGACAGGCAACCACAGCTGGTAGAGAACAGACTGCGCCGTGGCAAACTCAGCCTTCCAAAAACGCTCCAGCGTCTGCAGCGTACAAGACTGTAGTAGTTCCAGGGCCTATAGAAGCCTTCCAAATGCAATAGATTGAAACTGAACTGAATATGTTTCACTTTCCCCTACCAGTTCCACTGCGAAGCTTTTATTGGTTTGGAATTCTGTTTACTCGGTCATTTCACTCATAAACGCGGAGATGTAAAGAGAGGTGGCAAGAAAGCAAAGGAGTCCAATGCCGTAAAATCCATCCGAGGGTCTCTATGTCGCCGTTCATACTTCTTGTCTCGCAGCTTCCGTCATGTTCTAGCTCATCTACCTCAATCTCCTCCCATCTTTTGTGCAGCTGCTTTCCTGGGGTGGTTTAACCGTTCCTAGATTTTTCTACAATAGCCCCTCTTGTCTTTGTACTTTTGCGAAGTCCTCTACTGCCTTCTACTGCTTTCAAGTCTTGTTTGTTGTCGCTCATATTTCTGTTCGAGATTTTTCGAAGTCCGCGCGATATTAACAATTTTGCATGCCTCTGTTTGTCGAAAGTCTGTTTGTCTCATATCCTTCGTGTCTTGATCACGTGATTTCTTTCTCGATTTGCCCAGTCCGTTCTATACGCTTTTCGCGTTCAGACACTTGGGGATGTTGGGAGCGGGAGAAGGTTGGTGTGGGTCAGCAAACCCCGTTGTTGGCCCCCACAATATTGTTAAAGGGTGCAACAATTGGTTGTGGGCGTAAGCGCGCCAAGCCTTGGTCTCATGACACCCTGCAGCGTCCTTTGCCAAAACAGTTATACCTGTGCAACCATTACGGGGAACAGCCTTGGTGGGATAAGTGGTCGGAGAAGTCCAATATTTAATTCGCTTTGAGAATGGAATGAATTGGATTCACCACTTTTTTTCAGCATGATATGACGGCACAGAACCATGCAGTGACTGTGGAAGATATATGGCGTGGCTTGGAAGGGGTCTACAAGAAAGGTTTGGCAAAATCGATTGGTGTCTCCAATTGGAGCATCGAGCAAATTGAACGCGTCATGAAAATGGCGCACCTATACCTATTCATTAATGCCAGGTATAGGCGGCATGTTCAGGAGAGGAAAGTGGCTGCTCCTTACATTTCATGAATATTAGCTCAAGCGTTAAACGCGACTTCCCACCAGGTAGGCGAGTCGGTGGCAGCAGGTATCGTCCGCAGTCGGCTGGGGTGCAGTCAGGAGGGGTACAGTCAGCCCGCCCTCGGCTGCCTTTCTGCCAATAGTGATCGGTTAGTGATTTTTTTCGAAGTTTCGTGTATGGCTGCTGGAGGTAGGGAGGGGGTCTACTTGCTTCAGGGAAAATTGATTTTCTCGGGCTTTTTCTATTTCAACTTAGCTATACACCTCTTTCCTCTCCACTTTCCTGCTGGACACCGAAAACTGGGGGGAAAACAAAAAAAAATGCGAAGAAAAGGAAGAATTTGAAATAATTTAGGGGGATGAGGCAGCATTCATAAACTTCTCTGACAGCCAGGCGGCAGATCGCGGGCGACCTCCGGCGATCGCCGCGAATCGTCGATGCATGGCATGCGCGCCCCAACGCTGTTATCTTCGGGGGCTTTTGGCGAGAAGCGGACTCAGTTTCATGCTTTTTCCTTTAACTGCAATTTTCTTAGGTACTGAAGCTTGGTTTGACATTAAGAAAGGTGAACCCAACTTGATGGCTTTTGTTTTTTTTATTTTCTATGCTTGATTTCAGGATATAGAATGAGCAAAAAGCGTGAAGAGCTTCATTTAGGGTAGGTTTTTATTGTTTCTTTTTTCATTCGTCGAGCTTATACATGAGGTTATAAAGTTTTCACCTGTTGATGTTGCGTAAAATGATTAGTGTTTTGGTTCCTAGGTGAGTTTCTTTCTGTTTTTTTTTTCTTCGTTGTTTGAACTCGACTTGTAAACTATAAATGTTTTGGAAGTTGGAACAGTTCAGTACAGGTAGCAACTTTCAAGGCAACTTTATAAATTGAAAACAATTAAAAACAGAAAGAAAACAAAAAGAAAGCTCAACTAGGAAATGGAATTGCCCTTATCTCACCTAAAAAGAAGTGAAACCTCCTTTACCCCATATTGCCAAGACTTCCGTTATGTATAGAAGTCGTTAATTTATCAAGTTTGAGTAGCCATTATGTAAGAGGAAAAGTAAGGGTCTCATACTTGAATTCCCTTATTTTTAGCGAAGCGGGTCCACTAATAGGCCTACGCGCTCTGCCACGTACCGACACCGCGGCGATCGCCGAGGTCGCCGCTATGTCGCGAAGTATGAACGCTGCCTAACAGGTGGGATGGGGGGGGTCGTACCAAAGCGAAAATTCTGAGGGGGTCGTATTTTGCATGAGGGAGCTGTGTTTTACAGGATTTCTCCCACTTGCAGGAACCGCACTATTAGGAGAAACATGCCAGTCGTAAAAACGTTGCAGGTCGGCATATTTCACGCCTTATGAAACCGCCCCGACCGATCGCGACGCTATCAGCTACGGCCATGACCCCCGTACGCTACCACCCTCTTACGCAAGTGTTCCCAGGATTTAACTCGGCGGATCAAGGGAGAGGGAATAAAACGCGTCAAGCGAAAGACGGCCAAGAAGTCACCGCCAGCGTTCTGAAACTACGTTACCGGCGCGCGGCAACACCGCTGTCGCGTGGCGGTCGCGCGGTGACTCCTGGCCGTCTCCGCTTGCCGATAGGGTTCAATATTTGGTCGGGAAGCTTATAGGCAATTAATTTTACGACATATGAAAGGAAAGTATCAATCATATTAAAAGGGTTTCGCGACCAAGAAAATACGATCCTCTTTGCATCAGCGGCCAAATACGACCCCACGTAAGTGTTTACACAAAGGTGTTTTGAAGTGTGAGAGCAGCTTTGGTCACAATTTGACGTTACAATTTGCCTGTTACGGTTGTACTTCAGGTGGAACTTCATGTCGTAACTGGCTCAGCTCAGCGAATGTGCTGAAATTGAAAAAAGCATAACATATCTGTCACTTCTTACGGTTCTTTGGGATCGCCAGGTCGAGTGAATTTCAAGTCTGAAGGAGTGTGAGTTTCTTGTCCCCTTTCATCATTAAAGGAACGGTCCGCGATCAAGTATCGAAGATGAAAATATGGCATCGGGAGGATAGTGCGGTCCGCGACGAACAACCCTGTACCGTTTTCGCGGCAAAAAAGTGCAGGGAGGGGCGCTATAAGGCAAAATAGGTCCAGTGGTTCCTCCTTTTTTTTGCCAGTGACTCCGCTCCAAGCGCGCCCTTCAGTGGAAAACCAAGTTGTGGGACGAGAAAAGCATGAAAATCTAAGCGGCTTCGTTATTTGTACGGACGTAGGGTTGTATTGAGTCAGCTGAGCGCGCGGAGTGGTAAAACTGGAAATGTACTGCAAAAAGTATTGTATGGCAAAAGTGCATGAAATGTTGGAAGAAAATAGCAACATTCTGAATTTTAAAAGCAAATACACAAATTAAGAAAGAAGAAGGAAAACATAATTGTGTTGATGATTTCTACTTAAAAAAATAATGAATATATGAAAGGTTCGCTCTTTCAAACGTGGCGCAACCGTATTCTGGCAGCGAGCCATAACGTGAGAACGCTAGTCATAAGCGCTGTTTCCCCATCGTATGCACGTACAAACTAGGATTGTAATGGGGTCCTATTTAGGTCATTGGGCATGTTTTTCTGCTTTTTCCTTCACTATTGTTTTACTCTAAACCTTGTCCTTTTTATGCGAAGCCTAAATTCACTATCTAAGATGGCAAATGAGCGGGGCTTTGCTTTAAGCGATGCGGAAATGTCGTCCGTGTTAGCGAGGTGAACCAAATTGAAAAAGAAGATCAGAATTATATTTAGAAAATGGTTATCACACCTGAAATCGAAATCACGGCCTTCCTTCTTTTTTTGGTACATATGTAACGGGTATACGATCCACGGAGTATAACCTATATTACAGAAAAGTTCACTGGGCGCCAGCTCCAAATCCAATGGAAGATGCCAATGTGAAGAAACTGGCTGAAAAGTACTCCAAAACTCCGGCGCAGGTGTAGTTGTATAAAAAAAAGCGCTGTGCAAGGCTAACATTTGGTTTTCTTCAGATTTTATTACGCTAGTGTTGATGGATCTGATTTATTATCGCTCGACCCCCCCCCCCCCCATAACAAAATCTGTGATGATGACAGGAGATAATTGAGAATCTAAGGATATCTTATGAGCGCCCCTGTGACAACTTATACTAGCCCACCCGTCAATTCCCATCTGTACCCGGCGTTACCCTACGGAAGTGTCGCTCCATATCGAAACGAATAGGCTAAGAGCGTGGCATCTTCTATACCGAGTCTTCTCGCCGTCATACCTAAGACTCTTTCTACAAGTCTCTCGCGATGAACTCCATCGCTCTTCGTATCCGCGCCTCTGCCCTCCAGATATGGACTGTATATTGTTTTCCTGAGGTAGTTGCGAAATCTAGAAAATGTAGGTGGCCCCTGGAGATGTTGCAGCAATTCATGTGTGGCATTACGCTCTGCGTGGGCAGCGGGCCTTATGGCATATTCTCAGCTCTTCCGTAAAACGTACTTACGCACCGCGAACTGCATATGAAGACTAGGCCCAGTGCCATTAAGTTCGGATCTGAGTGGGGGGCGGAACCGAATCGATACCCTGCGAAGCCCGTAGGAGGCACACCTATAGAGCGTAGCGTGCCAATAGATGGTGGCCCCAATTTCGCAGATTCACAAGAGCTTTACACACCAATGTGAGACTGCAGTAACATGAGCTAGCAGAAGGAACTAGCGAAAGTGCCCCTCCTAAGCCAAATAGCACCGACTGCTCGATGGAATTCGCTTGGCTTTACGACCACGAATACGGCATTCATTTGGCGGAGTGCCATTAGCGCCAAGCATTGCTTTTCTCTTCAAGCTAGGGGTATAGAGCCATATAGATTCGTAGATAAAAAGTGAAATGCGAGGCGCATTTTACAAAGGGTCAATAATTGCTGAAAGTTTCGTTTCCTTAATCAAAATGTGTTTCAGTTGTTCGATTTTGCGCTGACGCCCGAAGAAATCAACCTTGTGGAATCGTCCAATCATCGTCAGAGGCTCTTCTTCCATGAATAGTAAGTTTTATCGTCCCGTACAAAATTAAATTTTGGCGCTCCTTATAAAAGGGAGAACATTTTTTCCTTCTCATCAATCAAAATTCATTGAATTCATCCTGCCAGACCCCGTTTAGACCTTCCTTATTTGGTATCGGAGTTGTTCGAACAGACAGAACTCCAAGTCTCACTTCCTGACAGAAAATTTCCAAAATACATGCAAGCTCTCTTTCAATATCCGTCGATTGGGGGTGAGGTAACACATTTTTTTCACTGTAGATTCTGGGACGTGCCAGCGAGGGGCCAAGGGGGGGGGGAAGCTGCGCTCGACGCAGCATCGGCGCTTCAGGGCACATCATTGGTTGGGGATTTTAGTCGACTCTATACGACCCCCCCTTTTTTGGGAGTTGGTACGACCCTCCCAGCCCTCTGTCCTTCCTCATCGAATCGAGCGAGCGGGAGGGGGGGGGGGGGTAGTGGGTAAATACACATGTGAAACAGGAAAAGCCGCGAGACAATACGACCTCCTGAGAACTTCCCTACCTTTTACCAACAGCTTGCTATCGAGCGGGGCGTGGGGAGGAGGGGGTATATAGTACGCATGAAACAGGAAAATCACGAAAAGTCAACCACCACTCCCACCACTCCTAGAAAGGCCAGAAAGTAAATACGACCCCCCCCTCCCAACAATGAGCAAGTACGACTCCCCCTCTCCAGGCGGCCAAATACGACCCCCCCCTGTGGGGGATTCCCCAACAACGATGTGCCCTGCTCTTCATCGAGCTGAAGAGCGCAGAACATATAGCTCATGTGAAACTAGAAAATGGCGCTGAAACAAGGCCCCCCTCTCTACCACTTCTTATAGTACGTATGAAACAGGAAAATCACCAAAAGTCAACCGCCACTCCGCCACTCCCCACTCCCACAGCCCAAAAGCGTAAATTACGACGCCCCCTCACAAAATAATCAAATACCGACCCCCCTCCCTGCACAACGTCATGAACGAAGAAAAATCAACTTAGGCAAAATAAATTGTTCCTACTAGCCGCAAAACGACCCCCTCCTGGCGACCGAATACGACCCATCCCTAGTGGGGATTCCCCAACAACGATGTGCCCTGCGGCCTTTTTCCACAAGTTGTTGTCGGTTGCTCTTTTCAACAACTGGTGGAGAACGGGCCCCCATCTCCTTAGACACGCCCCAGGATTAGCAGCGCGCAAGACTCTAGACAGCTGAACCAACTATCATACAATAGGGTGTGGCCAAAAATAGCGCTATTAAGCGCGCCTCGAAAGCAGTTTTTAATTCCACCCGGAAGCATTTGAGAATGTAGGTTTAGGTAATTGTATTATTCGTCTGATCGTTGCTCTTTAATTTTGCCATGAAGCATGGTGATGTCGTTGTTTAGAAGTACCCAACCCTTCACCTAACTATTCAACAGCTATCTGTCATCGGCGGGCGTACTATTGTGCTACGTACTTGAACAACTACGACAGCCTCTAGGTACAGGATACAGTATCGTTGTGCGAAAGTTATCAGGGTGGTTGGTATTTGGTCGCTGGGAGAAGGGGTGGACGGCGCAGTTCGGCGACGATGGGGGCATTTTGCTCTTCGTTGCTTCACTAGTTCCGGTTTACAAGTCTCACTCTGGTGAAACCTGTGAACTCTTGTGAAGCTGGAGCAAGCTCGTCAAGCCATCATGGTAAAACCTGTCAACGAAGAGGCTGTCTAGATGGTCGACACGTCGATGGAAGTAGCGAAAGTTCAGAATGCCCACCCGTCGCCGAACAACGCGGACCATCAGGGCAGAGGTGAGTCAGTACTGATGAATAAGTAAACGAAAAATTTCGGGGTTACGAACCTTCCCAAATCATCGTATCACATGGGGACAGCACCCTATGTGAGCAGGTTGCATTTTCAACCACCTTAGCATGGTAGTCAATTGCCTTGCGCCTGCACAGAAGAGATCAGGTGATAGGTAAATAATTCGCTCATTCATTTCTAGGAGTGGATGCGGTCCTGGTGGTATACTATGTATTCCAGACAATTTTGACGCACTCAGCAAGTGAAGGCGAGGGATGGAATGAACGCCAACCGAACCTTTAGGAGTTCCTCGTATTCATAGAGCAGCCACTAGGTTTGCATCTTGGTTACTCCGCATGGGGAGGGGTGGAGTAGGGGGGTGGAACAAACAAATACTGCTCCGTATTTAGCTAAAGTGCACGAGTTGAAGACAGAGCACATCGTCGTTCTTAAAGACAGAAGCGAATCGTGTGCGAGCATTCCTCTTCAGGAGGAGGGTCGTGTTGGACCTTGGAGAAGGGTCTACTTGCGAATAAGAATTTTCTTGATATCACATTTCTCTTAGACGTCTTAAAGGCGGTAAGAAAAATCTTATATCAAAAAAGGAGGAGTCAGTTCTTCTTATTGCTTGAAAGAGGGCGTGCTTCTACTCCCCTGCCCTGACTTTCTGAAAGACATTGTGACTTTGTGGGTTTTTTCTGTTTAATTACTATGTATACCTACACACCCCCCCCCCCCCGTACAGCAGAAATCTTGAAAAAAGCTACCGAAAAATTTCATAGAATTTCCGCGGAAATGCCTGTAACGTGCTAAGAGTTGAGCGAGCACCAAGATAATGTTAAGATCGAAGTCGTGTTTTTCACCGCCATTTTTCTCGTTTCACATGAGCTATTGTCGCGCTCTTCAGCTCCGATGAAGAGCAGCATCATCGTTTTAGGAGTCCCAAATGTGCGACATATCTCGCACCAAAGAGGGGGTCCTACTTGCTGCATTGTTGATGCAGGAAGTGGGATCGTATACTTTTCTGGCCATTTCTACGATGGATAGAGTAGGTGATCTTCCCTATATCTCGTTTCAGCCTTATACAGCCTCCCCACCCCCGTCCCACTCGATAGCAAAACTTTTGTAAAAACTAGGGAAATTCTCGGGAAATTTTGAAAAAAGTGCTGAAGTTGGGAACAACTCTGCAGAACTGGGAAATGGCTAGCAAGAGGGGGTGTCTATTTGTCTCGCGGCGCTCCCCCTTCTCTTTCACATATGCATTTATCCTCGTACCCCCCCCCAGCTCGACGCTCATCTTGAGGAACGGGAGAGAGTCGGAGGAGTAGGTCGTACCAAAACCCCTAAAAAAGGCGAGGGATCGTAACGCGACTCAACCAAATCGCCCAATCATATCCATGTTGGCCGATGAAGAGGGACTTAGTGAGGTCGTACCACCTTAAACCCCACTTTAAAAGGGTGGAGGGAAGTCGTGCGGAATAGACCACAATCCCAAACCTGATTGAAGAAAGGCGCCTGAAAAGCCGGCAACAAGCCCAGTGTCGCCATCTACCCAAAGTGAACAACTTTCTCCCTATAAGAAGTTGCTTCCTGTCTATACAGAAAAAAAGGGGCGATCTCTTGAAGACAAGTAACGCGTTTTTCTGTTTACTAGCTTCACTTCAAAATTTTTTGTTGTCATTTCTTGTATTGGTTTATCTTTGCAAGTTTATCTTTTACAATCATTGATTATCTGCAGTTTATCTTGTTACAATTTATTTTGGCCACCGCTCTCGCTTACGCTGTAAGGGAATCCCGTTGCCGCCAAATTCTTCCCAGCGAAATGAATTCCTGTGATTATGTCCCTGGCGGAACACTTACAGAGATATCAGCCGGTCCTTTCACTAATCTAAAGGAGTTCTATTTCAGTATGGAAGGCCATCCAGAAGATCCATTCGCTTCGGAAAGAAAGCATTGAGCCAGTCAGCAGCTTCCGGAGTACTCTTTTGCTCGATCCCGTTTTTCGCCTACGCGCCGTTTTTTGGTACGGCGTTACACAGATTGTCATACTCTCGTCAATAACTGCACTTCACACTCGAACTTTCATCTGCTGTTCGTAAACAAGAGGACAAAAAACCTGGAGAGCTATCTTTGCCATCGATTTTTCTCGCTCAC